TTCTGCCATGCAGGAAGACACCATCCAAACCTTCCCTGTAACAAATGCCCATCCAGGCTTTGCTTTCAAAACCTCCAAAGAAGAGACTCCACCACTCTCTGAAGGTGTCTTCCATTGCTGAACAGCTCTTGCCTTAAGGAAGTTCTTCCTAATATTTTGGTAGGATCGCTTTTCCTGTAGCTTGAACCCATTGCTCCATGTCCTATTCTCTGGAGCAGCAGAAAACAAGCTTGCTTCATTCTCGATATGACATTCCTTCAAATATTTAAACATGGCTCTCATGCCACCCCTTAACCTTAAGCTCTTCTCCACGTTAAACATACACAGCTGCCTAAAGCTGCTCCTAATGGAGCCTGGTGGTTTCCAGACCTTTCACCATTTTGGTCGCCTTCCTCTGGACATGCTTGTCTGTATCTTCTTGAACTGTGGTACTTAGAACTGGACAACAGTATTCCAAGTGAGGCCTGAGCAAAGCAGAACAGAGTGGGACAATTACTTCCCTTGCTCTAGATACTATTCTCCTACTGATGCAGCCTAGAATTGCAATGGCTTTCTTCGCTGCTACATCACATTGCTGGCTCATGTTCCACTAAGATACATGTTGCACATGGAATCTCTTCCTAAATTTGGATGACCATGTGGCAAGTGGAGGGAATGCATGAATAGTTTTAGAGGTGATCCCATACAACTGGGGCAAAGTTTAGATAGAAATACTGGAAATATGTCACTGGTGCAGTAAATGACGCAGAAGCAGACTTGGATAACAAACTCTTTCACAGGTTTTGTCTTACCCAGAACCAGCATCGGCTAAGCAAGTACAGGACAAATGAGGGAACTATTCACAGGGACCTCACCCAGACAGAGATACTTTTCAAGCTCCAGTTTGATTTGGGGACAGAGCTATTTAGGAAAACCAGAGCTAAGGACTTCAAAAAGATGGCGCTCTGAAGTTGCTGGGGATCAAGGAGATAAGAATTAATCACTGCAGAAGATCTGCAAATATCCGAAGGACATGATGACTCTTTGGTGCTTTAACTGTTCTGTCTGTGTGTGTGTGTGTGCGCGCGCGTGCATAAACAAAAATGGTATCAGAGATAAGATTAGAATTCAAAGTCCTTGCAACCAACAGGAGCCCTCTGAGAAGATAACTCTTAGAGAGAACACAATAGTGGAATTTGCCCAAGAAACAGGAGGTGTCCATTCCATGAAAGGGTCATGGTTAAAATGATAAAGTAAAAGAAAAAGAAAATAGCATGTCCATGAGGGAAACCAATGTCCAAAGAGCACTATCAGACTATCCCAGAAACATAGTTTTTTGTGGTTTTTTCATACTGTGTGGTATATATACTGTGTGACCCATGGTTGAGTGGACTAGCATGTAAATCTGTGTATTGTTCACAAAGGTCACACCGTATATACACCCCACACACCTCCATGCCACCATTCTCTGAAGATGCCAACCACAGATGCTGGCGAAACATCAGAAAGAAACTCTTCTAGAACATGGCCACACAGCCCAAAAAACCCACAAAAAACTATGGATGCCGGCCATGAAAGCCTACGATATCCCAGAAACGTCTCCTCCAACCAAGGTTGGCCGGTGCCTTCCATTTCAGTGGAGACAGTTAATCTAGTCTAGGGTTTAGTTTGAACTTTAAAGAAACTATCCATGGTGTTGACAAATAGCCCCCCAAAATAAGTTCAGCAATTTAGAGAATATCTCTAAAGCAGGGTTAGGCAAATAAATGGGGATGAAGTCCCCCAATTTCCCCCCCTCAATTCATACCCCCCCCCAGGCGCTGCATCCCCCGACACACACATAAAGCTAGCCTAAATACCTCCATCTCTAACAAAGATTGTATTTAATATATTTTTAATAGGGGGTATTATTGTTAATTGTCGGGGTTTGTATTTGTTTTTAGCTGTAAGCCGCCTTGATTGCTACAGCAAAAGGCGGGGTAGAAATAAAATAATAATAATAATAATAATAATAATAATAATAATAATAATAATAATAATTTTGTGGGCCCTTTCAAAATGGGAAAGATGCATCACTTCTTGCCACCAAATTGAGAAGGTCCACAGAGGAACACAAAGGCATTTGGGGGTAGTATTGGATTCTGGGGTACTTGACGGGATATTTTTACATGCCTTCGTGAGCAACGGACTAAGACTCTGGAGATCAGGGTTCAAATCCCCACTATCAAAGCACTCCCTCTGACATATGGTCATCCAGCCTCTCCTTAAAAAAATAAGATGATGACTAGGAATGGGAAGCAGAGCGATCTTGTAGCACCTTCTCTACATACTGATTCTACTGACTAGCATGGCTATAGCTTTGAATCCTAGGAATGGGAAGGGCAGCCATGAAAGAGCTAGAAAAGATGCTAAAGAGTATAGATATACAACTGAGCACCAAGGTTAGAATTGACCAAGCCATTGTATTCCCCATCACCATGTACAGATGTGGGAGCTGAGCAGTGAAGAAAGTGGACAGAAAGTAAATCGACTCATTTGAGCTGTGGTGCTGGAGAAGAGTGCTGAGGATCTGCTAGATGGCCAAAAAGGCAAACAAATGGGGGTCCTTGAACAGATCAAGCCCAAACTCTCCCTAGAAGCCAAGATGACTAAATTGAGGTTGTCATACTTTGGGTACATTATGAGAAGGCATGACTCTTTAGAAAAGACAATGATATTGGGGAAGGTGCAGGGAAGGTGAAAGAGAGGAAGACCGCATACTAGATGGATAGACTCCATCAGGGAGGTCCACAGGCATGAACTTGCAGGACCTGAACAGAGCAGTGGAGGAGATGGGGCCTGGAGATGTGGAAGAGTGGAGAGTGGTGGGGTCTCCTTCTTTGGAGGTCTTTAAACAGAGGCTGGATGGCCAACTGTCGGGGATGCTTTGATTTTGAGTTCCTGCATGGCAGAAGGGGGTTGGACTGGATGGCCCTTGGGGTCTCTTCCAACTCTATGGTTCTATGATTTTATTATTCATCCACAGGATGACCATGAAGTGTGGTCAACTCAAGGACAGCTAACAACAGCAACATTACTTCCCTTGATCATTCTAGACCCTGCACTCCTAATGATGCAGCCTAGAATCACATTACCATTACCATCGTAGAATAAATTACCATTCCCTTTTATCCCACACCGGTAGGAATGAATCTATAAGAATTAAGCAGAGCAGTGGAGGGAAGGGGAGCTTGGAGATATCTCATCCACAGGGTCGCCATGAGTTGAGGTCGACTCGAGGGCCTCACAAATCTGACATCAAAAGTGACATCGAAAAATCAGTGGGTATAAATATCCTAGCCTGCCCAAATACCTGGTCATGGATGTTAAAGCAGCTGTTGAGACAGTGTGTTCCAGGAGGCTGACTCTCTGTCTCCCAACTCAGTGGACTTGCGTTTCATCCTAAAAATTGTGTTGAGAGAGGCGCTAAGTATTTGTCACTTTGTCTAAGGAAACCACAGTGCCTCCATGCGTCCCTCTGAGCCTGCAGCGCAGATGTTTCATAGAATCATAGAATCATAGAATCATAGAGTTGGAAGAGAC